CTGTGGCTCAAGTGGCTAAGGCTCCAGCCACGTACACCCAAGGTGGTGGGTTGGAATCCCCAGCCCGGACCGCCAAACAACAATGACGGCTGCAGCCAAAAAATGGCCGGGCGTTGTGGTGGGCGTCTGTGGTCCCAGCTGCTCGGGAGGCTGAGGCAGGAGACTCACTTGAGCCCAGGAGTTGGAGGTTGCTGTGAGCTGTGATGCAACGGCACTCTACCCAGGGGGACAGCTGGAGGCACTTGCCTCAAAAAAAAAAAAAAAAAACGTTGCAAATTCCATGACAAATCTATGGGGGCACATAACCTAATCTGGAGTGTGGGAGTGTCAGGAAGACTCAGGAAGGGTGATAGCCCAGGCTCAGAGTGGGCAAGGGGCATTCTTAGCAGAAAGGGCAGTCTGGGGTGAAGGCAGCTGTAAGGCATCAGCAAGGCTGGCAGGTGATGTTAGAGAAAAATAGAGGCATTTGGGGTCAGGAAACTCCTTGAGAGGCTCAGACTTAACACCCGAGGTAACTGGTGGCTCTTGAGGGACTACTGGCACAGGACTGGAGGGGACAGACTGCAAGTCAGCCTGTCAGGACAGACCAGGTCGGGGCTGGTCTCTTAGTGGGTATGGTTGTTCACATTTTAAGGAGGTTTAAGTAGTTTGCACAGAGGACTCAACGCTTGCTGGGATCTCCCTCAGGACACAACCTGAGGATTGGGAGCCCTAGGCTGAGAGGACCCAATGACAGCAGAACAGAGCTGGGACTGGGAGCCAAGCCTCGCGACCGAGCTGGGGGTGCCCCGGGCCCATCCCTCAAGCCAGCTCAGGGGGGATGGAGGGTGGTGCGTGCAGCTGATGGCCGTCGGGCCGGCGTCGGCACAGCCCGGGCTGTGGCTCTCCGCCCAGGATCTAGGGAAGGGAGGGCTTGGGCGGCCGGCCTGGAAGGAGTGGGGGCGGCTCCTCCCCCGGCCCCCGCCTTGGAGGGTCGGGTCGGGGCTCGGGGCCGGCGCCGCGGGAGGCGCAGCCCTTTCCGGGGGGCGGGCCCGGCGGCGGTGGTGGCGGTGGCGCCCGGCTCCTGCCCCGACAGGTGCGCGCGGCGCGCAGGAATGCGGCCGCCTGACTCACCAGCGCCTCCGTCCTACCTGCCCGCCCGCCCATAAAGCGCTGCCGCGCCGCCTCCCCGCCTCCCGCCCTCGGACCGTCCCTGCTGCCCCGCGCGCCGCAGCCTGCCCGCGAGCCGCAAGCCCAGGTGCGGGGGCGCCAGTCCGCGCAGAGGTAGGTCCCTCGCAGGCCTGGGCGGGATCGGGGCGCAGGCGAGGGGCGGACGCCGCGGGGCGCTCCAGAGAGATCGGTGCCCACCCCGCCCGGGCAGCCGCGCAGGGGAGCTGGCTGGCCAGGGCCAGTGGCTTTTGTTTCTCCCTTCCCTGCCTGAAGGCTGGCAAGCCCTGGTTGTCGCTGCCCGTGCTGCCGGGGTCAGGTGCCCAGCCCGCGCAGTGTGCCCAGGGACAGCTGGGAGCAGAGGGGCCCGTGATCATGGCCGTCTGACCGCCGGGCTAGAGGAGGGTGCTGGCTGGGTGCGCAGAAGTGGGCAGAGGCTGGCAGGCCTGCTGGGCTGGGCCCTGTAGGGTCTGCAAAGAAGGTGAAGGAGCAGCCTCCCCGAGAGTCAAAAGTCCTCCCTGTTCTGCTGGGCAGAGCCTGCCCTGTGTGGTTCGGCATCCCACCTGGGCTCCGGGAAGTCCCTACTTCTCCTGTTCTCTTGGCGAAGTACACTCCTGCTCTCCTCCCAAGTCAGCCTAGTCACCTTCGTCCAGGAAGCTCTCCTGACCTCACCCACCAGCCCTGCAGCTGTGCCCACCACTGCCCTCTGTACTGCCTGTCCCTTTCCCCATCTGCTTGAGCCCTGGGGTGGCTGCTGGCTGCGACCGTGGTTCTGGGGCTCAGGATGGTTTCCTAGGACAGGAACAGGGCTCCTTCTCCTCCTCCCCCATGACCTTGCCACACCCTGGGCACTAGTATCATGTCATGGTTGTCGCTGTCCCCAACACTATACTTCAACCTTCTGAAGGGACAGTACTGGGGACAGTATAAAGGCTGAGAGTCTCCACTCTGAGGACTGAGGGAAAGAATACAGCAGAAGGGACAGCAGAGAAGGGGTGACTGTCTCTTTGGCCCTGATTTATTGTAGGTAACGGATCAGCTGAGGTGCTGGGGCTTCCAGGCCTCTCACAGCACCAGGCCCTGAGAGTGGGGCCTGGGCCTTGCAGGGCAGGGACATGGGAGAGCAGGAGGCTGAGAACTGGGATGGGCAGGTGCACATGTGCCCCAAGGGGCCCTGTGGGGCTGCGGAGTTAGTTCTGGGCCTGTGTGTGGATAGAGTCACGGTGTATGTCCATGCATATGGCTGCATGTGCCACAGCAGGACAGCACTCAAGGCAGCAGTCACATACTCCAGGGACCAGCCTGGTACATAAAAGTTGAGGCAGCCTGGAGCATGAGTGTCCTGGAGAGTGGATATTCTGAGTGCTCAGTCCAGGACACATCTGGTAATCCCACCATCCTCACTTTATGTGAAATCTTGTCATTTCTAACATTGGCAACTACTTTTAAAACTTTTTAAGCCTGGGCAATAGAGAGACTGTGTATCTACAGAAAAATAAAAAATACTTAGCTGGGCGTGGTGATGCCTTTAGTCCCACCTACCGAGAGGCTGAGGCAGGAGGATCTCTTGAGGCCAGGAGTTTAAAGTTACAGTGACCTATGATGACACAAGTGCACTGTAGCCCAACAACAGAATGAGACCCTGTCTCAAAAAAATAAAAAACCTGCTCAGCACCCATAGTTCAGTGGTTAGGGTGCCAGCCACATACCCCAGGGCTGGCAGGTTTGAACCCAGCCTAGGCCTGCTAAACAACAATGATAACTATAACAGAAATAGCTGGGCACTGTAGCAGGTGCCGGTAGTCCCAGCTACTTGGGAGGCTGAGGCAAGAGAATCTCATAAGCCCAAGAGTTTGAGGTTGCTGTGAGTTTGAGGTTGTTATGAGCTGTGATACTGCGGCACTCTACCAAGGGTGACATAATGAGACTCTGTGTCAAAAAATAAAAAAATAAAAAAATGAGTGGCGCTTGTGGCTCAGTGAGTAGGGCACCAGCCCCACATACTGAGGGTAGCAGGTTTGAACCTAGCCCCTGCAACAAAAAAAATAGCCGGAAGTTATGGCAGGCACCGGCACCCTATTGAGGGTGACAAAGTGTGAGACTCTGTCTCTAAAACCAAAAAAACCTTTTTACATGTTGAGTCAAGCAAAACAAAACACCTCTGACTGCTTATCCAACCCCCTAACTGCCATTTGGTAGCCTCTGAGTATGCTGTGGAGGTTAAATGCGGGTCTGCACTGCCAGTCTGGCCCAGGCTTTCTCAACGCCGACTGTGGTGGGGAAGCCCTGTGGCCTTCTGTGCCCCATGTCATCTGGGAAATGGGTATAATGCAGGCATTGCCCCATTGGCGTCCTGTGTGGATCACATAGCAATTAAGTCCACAAATTGCTGGGCCCCTGTTGCTATCATAGCCATGGGGATGTTAGCGGAGCATGCCAGGCTGTGAGCACAGGGAGGAGGAGGAAGCACTGGGCTCAGCCTTGCAGTGCCCACACCTGCCTCTGTAATGGTGCCCTGGGGAGGCCTGAGTCTGCAGCCTGTATTGTGTAGCCTGTGGGTGTGGTGCCCACACCTCTAAGCTGCAGGAAAGTCATTTCCCCCTAGGATCCTGCCCCCCACGCCTTCCCGGCTGGCACAGGGCTGCCTCCAGGCCCTTTTTTGGCTGCTGCCAATGGTTGGGTGGCTCCCTCTCCCCGCCTGCCTGGGGATGGGGTAGTGCTGCTATGGTCAACTCTAACCATGTTTCTTGGAGGGAGGGAGGCCTCCACCTAGGAAGGGCCTCTGCAGCCCCACAGTGACCTTAGCACCAGACTCTGGGTCTGCCCCTGACCTAAAAGCTAGGCTGAGGGCCAGTGGGCATGGCCAGGCCTTGGGCCGCTAGGAGATGTGGCCCTGGAGAAAGAGGCATGGTTCCTGCCTTCACTCTCAGCTCTGCAGGCCTAGATGGCTCTGCCACCAGCCTCTTTTCTTCCCAAAGCTTTAGGCTGCCCATCTCTTAAAAGGCCTCAGGGATGCCCAGACCTGCTCTGGACATTGCTGAGGAGTTTCATGGTAAAGGTTTAATAGTGAACTGGGCGACACCTGGGGTAGCACCATAGTGTATGCGTGAGTGGCCAGGAGGTGCTTGTTGTCTCAGTCTGGGCTACCTTGGGAAAGAGTGAAGTGTTCAGTTCCGGGGCAGGCAGGGGTGGAGGATAGGATAGGGGACCCTGACCTGACCCTGATGGGCCAGACAGCCATTGCAGAACTCATCCCAGGACAGGCTGCTACAGGCACCCAGCCACTGCACCCCCCACCCCCCAGTCCCCAGATATTGGGAGGGGACCGTCTCCTCCTGACTGTGCCACTCTCACCAAAGGGCAAGTGGGCCAGGACAGAGATGGAGTTAGGGTCCCTCTAGGGTGGCCCCCCTATTGGGGAATCCTGTCCCTGCCAAGCCTAACCTTGGCTCACTGGGGCCTAAAAGGCAAAGACAGAGTAAGCCTTGCCCTGCCCTGCCCCTGAGAAGAGGCCTAGCACTGGGACGAGCTTGGAAGTCAAAGCGCTTGAAAGCAAGAAGAGGCCTCCCTGTGCAGGGCACAAGCCTGCTGTCCATATAGCCAGCCACTACAGGGATGGCAAAGAAGGGGGAAGTGGAAAGGATAGGGGGCAGGGGCCTGGGCCCTGCCTCTCACAGCCTAGTGCCCTTGGTAAATTCACTGGAGCTCTCAGAGCCTCAGTTTCCACACCTGTGTGGTGGGAAGGGCCTTGCCAATCTTGTGGAGCTCTGATCAGGATCTACTGAGCTGATGGCTCCAACCAGGGCTATAGAGGCGTCATGTGTCAATTGTTGCTATTCTGCAGGAGGAAGAGGATGGCAGGGCCACATCCCCGCCTGTGGACCAGGCTGCTGCTGGCAGCCCTGCTGAGCACCAGCCTCCCTGGGGCCATGGGTGAGTCTGCACTGCCTCAGCACTTCACTTGGCGGAAACACTCCTTTGAAATATTTGTGCCTCCACAGGGCCTCTCACAGAGGTCTCACTCAGACTCAGTGAGCCATTCAGCCCCTGACCACTGCACACCTCCAGTGCTGGAGAACTCAAGGCTCCACACTCCTGGCTGTGTTGTCTGAGGGTGAGGTAGGTGGCTGTGTCTGGAGGGTAGTTAGGGACATGCACTCAGGGAATTGAGCATCCCAGAGGATGTTCAGAGGCCTCAAAAGTGGAGTCTAAAGTTTTACAGCAATTTCAGGGGAAGAGACCACTGACATGTCACCTGCTCTCTGAATATCACCAGTTAGCAAGTGGTTGGAGCCAGCTCCTACCAGTTAAATTTTGCCTCCGTTGAAGTCATGCTGGTAGCTTGAAATAGATCGTGGCAGGAAAATTTACACTACAGAAATTGGCAGTCGCAGGCTGGGCACAGTGGCTCACACCTGTAATCCTAGCACTCTGAGAGGCCAAGGTCGGAGGATCACCCGAGCTCAATAGTTGGAGACCAGCCTGAGCAAGAGTAAGACCCCATCTCTAAAAATAGCCAGGATTGTAGTGGGTACCTGTAGTCCCAGCTACTTGGGAGGCAAGAGAATCACTTGAGCCCAAGAGTCTCAAGTTGCTGTGAGCTATATGATGCCATGGCACTCTACCAAGGGCAACAAAGTGAGACTGTCTCAAAAAAAAAAAAAGAAAGAAATTGGCGGATGTTACAAGTCAAGGCTCCCCCTCCCTC